TGTTCCCATGTTCCAGTAGCACTCAGGAGTCCAAGACCAGGTAACTCAGAACCAGCAAGTCACGTCTCCAGCTCTCCATCCTCTTTGCATTGCCAGACAGCTCAAAGAGCCAAAGGCATTGGGGATCTTAACTAACAAATTTTGCTTTATTATTGAGGCCACATGAGGCAGGTTTAAGTGTCGAGGAGAGCTGAATATATATATGGAAGAGAGATCAGAATTCAAAACCTCATTTATTAAGCAATGGAGAAAACTGTTGTAATGTCCTCTAGCAAATCTTCTGTATCAGAAATACTTTTACAACAGGTAAATCCTATTTCTGCAAAAACTTTCATTTTGGAGAATAGTAATATTAAATATAAATAAATCATTAGGAGGTAGATAAGAAGTAGTTCTGAGCTAGATCATCCTTTGACCTGAAAAAAATATGTGTAAGTGGAAAAGTCAAGCTAGGTAAAAGGATATGTAAAAAAGACATTCTTATTTCTGTTGTTGGTCAAAGAATGTGTTCATTGTGAGACTGAGTACCTATACTATGTGGCTTTTGAATTCCAGATAGATATTACATCCCTTAAGCTCGATACTTCCTATGAATTCCAGATGCGGCGGTTTAATAATAAAGCTGCAGCCCTGGCAGGAAATGAGTCGTAGCCAGACAAAGCTGTGAACACTGCTGGAAAGACGTTTATGCTTCGCAAAAGAGGTTTTAGGGTGAGATTCCCACCTCTAGCAGGCGGCTATCCCTAAGCAGTCTTCTCAGCTTCATCAGTAATGTTTGTGTGGCCGCATGTAAGGGAAGCTGGGTTTTAAAGTCTGCCCTTGGGGCCAAAATAAAGCGCTTAAGGACATACTTACCTTGAAGCATCTAAATAGTCCCACTCTGGCCAAATCTAGATAAAATCCTAGTGAACAGTAAATTTTTGAGCAATTCTTACTAGAGTCTCTAAATCTCTCGATTCCTTTCAGTAATTTTGTCAGAAAATGAGAAAAACAAAACATTTAGGACTGCAGTATTTAGACTGGCAGTTTTGAGTCAACTGAATATTCATGCTATGGATCTGCTGTTATTAGTTACATCTGCTGATCTCCACATTTCTTTAATATTTTAAACTAACTTATTGGGGAGAAAAAACAACTACACTACTGCACGGTTTCTGGGTTTGATAACTGCCCAGGAAAATGAGGCTTGTTCCTAATTTTTGTATTTCCCTCCTTCTTCCTTTGGCGACACACTTTGATTGATCATGCGATGTGCGGCTTTTGTTGCAGGTAGGCTGTACTGAAGCACGAGGGACAGTATAAGCGTTCTGTCTTGGAAAGAACGGGAAAAATCTTCAACATCTGTCGCTTCGTACAATTGATAATTTGGGTTGCTGTCTGTCTTTCTACTCACTGCAGCCAACCACGTATCAGTGCTGGTGCATTTTCTTTGTCCTGTTGATCTGAGGAAGTGATAAAGATCCATGAGATCCACACTTTATCAAGTATCAGGGAAATTTTGTTTGCCCTAGGGGTTCACTCCCTTTCTGCTTCCTATAACGTTAACTTGACAATAGTGGTTATCCCAGCAGGCAGCTCCCAGCTGAGGAGGCAGGCAGTCACCAGGGACACAGCTGCAGCACTGCTGGTATCTATACAACAGCAAGGGGTTGTTGTTTTTCACATAGAATTATAGAAACCTCCTTTCCATTATCCCTAATGAAGTGTCTATACTCAGAACAAAATAATGGCAGGGTATAAATGTATCTTGGCTGACGTGCACCCCTCATGAGACATATTTATTCTAGTTGAGCGAAGGATGCTTTGGACTGTATTCCATTTCTTTTGCGGGAATAATTACTTTTGCAGTTTTACGTTTTCTTTACCTTGCAAAAGATAAATAATCACTAATATTTGAATAGCAAGAAGCCCTGTATTTTCTGCTGGAAATAAATTATTTTAAAATATTGTAGATCTGTAAATTTTTTAATTATATATGCAGAAAACTGCAGCCAAGATATATTATTTATGAAGTTTCATCAAAGACTGTGGCAATTCACAGAAGAGATGATGAATATGTAGGAAACTGCTGGAGTTCATATGGGCTAAATCCTGCAGCTTTCAGACTGTATTTCTGACTCTCTGAGCTCCTTTACCTCCCATTTACTCCAGGTGAGAGCTTCACAGTCTTTCAAAGCAAGTCCTAGGACAGGCAACAAATCTCACCCTGGAGGCTGTGAAAAAATATAGCACTATGTAGTGGATCAACTTATGCATGATTCATGGCGAAAATGAGCTTGGAGGAAGTGAAGGTGATGTCTAGGGAAATACGATGCAAAACATGAGAGCTGCTTGGCTACCATGGGAAATCCCAGGAAACATAAGTACAAATCTAACAGTAAAGGGAACAGCAGTAAAAAACTAGTGGAGAAAGAGCAAAAATGTGGAAAATAAAGGCAGTGAAAAACCTACAGAGGTAGGTGAAACTCTGAAGCTTGTAAAGAGTGGATAGGATGTACAACCTGATGCCTGTAAAATCAAAAAGGCAAATAAAGCTGTGGAGGTATCTCCAGAGTTCCACTTACAGGTGACAAATGTATTCAGTGCTTTTGAAAAGCACAGTCTTTCGTGGTTAAGAAAAGAATAGAGCATCAGTTATCATTGCCACCGAAGTACCGTTTCTAATTTAGAAGAAGAAGAAAAAAAAAAAGACAATTTAAATCAAATTACTAGTGAAAAAAGTGTACTTATCACTGCTGAATGAAACAGGTGATGTAGGGGATCCATGTGAGCATGGAGCAGGTGCTGAGGTTTTATTCGTAGTTATCATTGCCACCGAAGTACTGTTTCTAATTTAGAAGAAGAGAAAAAAAAAAGACAATTTAAATCAAATTACTAGTGAAAAAAGTGTACTTATCACTGCTGAATGAAACAGGTGATGTAGGGGATCCATGTGAGCATGGAGCAGGTGCTGAGGTTTTATTCGTAATTGAGGAAGTCTGTTGTCATTTATTTTGGATATGCATGTTGCATGCAGGAACAAGGAAAGGCCAGGGCAGATGGAAGCAATTGAAGGATGAATCCTATTGCCATTTAAATAATTAGAAAATATCCAAGTTGAATAAAGTTCCCATCTTTTATGGGAGAGGAAGGAAGAACTGGAGCTCATGTCTAGCATATTTATAACTTAAAACATCCTTTTCTTCCTTCCTTCATAGAAGTCAGAGCTGGAAAACTGTTACACAGCAACTACCTTGTATTTAAAGGGAAATAGCTGTGGATTATTCTCTCTCAAAGGTAGTAGGTGGTGTGTTTTGAGGAACAGATTGTATAGATCTGTGCTAAACTGAAAATGGAAGAAGCCTGAGATAAGTGACTAATAGAGGGTAAAAGTGAAAGGAAAAAATAATCCTATGTGCTTTTTGCTTTTTAACCTGTACCAAACATTAACAGTGCTGCTCTACAGTTACCAGTTCTGGAGTTTTGGTAGACTTACTTCTTGTTCTTCGCTTGGTGCCTACAGGTATAATGACTTCTCAGATGGTTTGTATCTGCTCCGCTGTGCTGAGTCGTGATGCAGTAGCTGTAATGAACTCTGTTTATCTTTGAGAACTGAAGTTATCCCTTTCCAGATTTTTAGGAAGTAAGGACCGCACTAGAGACAAAGGTGTGACAATGGGAGAAAAGAAAACAAGCCTTTTTAAGAAAGAACTAAATATATATACATGTGTGCACCTAGGGCATGCCTTGGTATGAGGCAGCTATCAAGGATCATATGGTGTGTGCAGTCCAGCACATTTTCCAAATAAAAGGTTTAAATCTAAAGCAGGCTCACAGATGGTTCTAATGAGCTGGTCTTTGAGATATACTGTGACTTAAACAAAAATAGTGTAACTCCTAAGACACTAACATTTCAAGATGGCTTTCAAGCACTTGCAGAACAATTTTTCATGCATATTTTAATTTTATATAAATTTCTAGTCTCCAAAAAAGGGAGGTTTTTCGGGACCTTGCACTTCCCTTGGTAAACGTTACAGTATCACCAAAGCATACATCAGGAGCATTTTTGGATGTTGACTGATGCTTCTTTTTCTGGCAATTTTCACATTTGATTTTGAACAAATAGTAATAAAGAAGGTAAAGGTTTCCCATGAAAACTGAATTTTTAAAGTGATATAGTACCTTACTAAAGATGTTACTCATTATTCTTGTAGACAGGACTTTCAAACTAAGAACAAAGTCCAGGATTGAATTTTTAAGCTTAGCATGACTGATAATTACAAAAGGGAAAAAGAAAACACAGTTTCTTAGTGCATGTAAAAATTGCACCCTTTCAGAATTATTTATTTTAATTTATGCTAAACGTTGCAGTATTAAATTCAATTCCCAGAAACATTAGTGTAAATCACAAAATTAAGCAATGGATTAAGCAGATTAACCTTTGTCAGGATCTGTAGACATAGATAAATACAAATACAAATATCTGTACATATTTTCTCTGAATCTGTCTCTAAGTGTCTTGGAGTTTGTGTCTGCATTTCCAAATAATTATGTATAAACACAGAAGTTGGTGATAAACCAAACAGCAGAGGATTTGATTCTGCCCAGACTTCTACCTCAGACAGTTACTAGCATCTGTATGTAATAGCTGTAAGAGCAGAGTAAAACAGACCTCAGCAAACCACAGACTTGGTGGGGTTTGGTCTCTTCATATAGGTGTAAATTACAATAAAAAGTTCAAGAAGAGTTAACTGCTGCACTCTGTGTGACCAGGCTGCCAGCTTCTACAACAGAAATGCAAGTAGTGAAAGTATCATCAAATGGTTTATGGCTTTGTAGCACAGCAAATATTGATTAAATGGCATTGTTTATATCATTATCTATTGCAAAAATAGCAAGAACTAATTTATAATCTTTTTATGACATGGTTTGGAATTACAGCCCTTCTAACTGACACCGTTTCAGAACTATGTTCTTCGTGTCACCTGAGCTTTGAGAGACATTTCTTCATTTCCTCGTAGGTCTGCCTTATGGATGGGAAGAAGCGTATACAGCGGATGGAATCAAATACTTTATCAAGTGAGTAGTTCTGGGGGAAGATGGGTCAGTGTTGGAATAAAAGCACTTCAAACTAAACACATTTTAAAAGCTAGAATTAATAGAAGAAATGAGTAAAACAGCAACAACTGTTGTATGTTTTAAATACCTCTTTCTTACCAACATCACTTGTTCTCTTCTGGTTTCTGTGACTTCGACGTCCAGCAGGTTCACAGTCACTGTTGAATGGAGAAAGACATCTCTTGTTAAAAGACACAGCCATGATTTAGTGTAAGACATTTTGCTAACTAAAAATTAATGATGACTTACAGAGAGCCAGGGTAATAGTTTCTAAGGTTTAGAAGTGGTTTATTGACAGATATTTGGGCTGTAGGTATTTCAGTTTCTCTGATTTTCACTGAAATCATTTTGCACAACTATAAGGAAAATCATCTCAGATGTAAAACCAGGAAACTTGGCATTGGATTTTATGATAACATGAACTTGTAATACAAGAATGTTAAGACCTTAAGCTGCTTTTGGTTGGGCAATTTTTTTTTTTCCTGAGCGGTTGTTTGTTTTTTAATATCAAGAACCAAAATGGAGAAACATTCTCTCAGCTTCCGCAGATACCGCACACCCTGGCCAGGTTCTGGCCGAGCACTTAAGGCAGCTGTTAAAATTTCTTCCATGAGAAAATACATGAAGCTGAAATTATTTTTTGCTCTAGACTTACAAATCCTTTGTTACCTCTGCCGGGTAATTTTACTCTTAGTCTGATGCGACCAGAGGTCTAAGTCTCACCCATCTAGTTACTGCTATGAGCAGGACGGGAACTGTGGATGTTCAGACTCCTGTTAAATTTGTTGTGCGATTCTTCCCAAAACCAGCACCGCTCAGCTTTTTGTTCTGGTGCATTTGCAAATACGCTGCACCAGAATCTTTATGCTATTCACTTAGAGACACAGGATTATGCGTAACTGTGTGTATTAAACCGGCACTTTTAGGGTCATAGGAGTTGGCTAATACTCGGGTGAGACAGATTTCAGGTGGTGCTTTAAAACTGTGACAAGTTTGTATGTCCTGTCACTCAGACCTCTGGCCTTATTCAGCCTGGGCTCCTATTCTACTGTTATTCCTGTTTTCATTTTATATTGGGCCACTTGTTTATTGTTGACAATTTTTGATGATACAGCATGCTATTTGCCTGTAAAAACCTTCTTCCCAGTGATAGCTGCCTTCTGAGATCGCTCATAGATTTGTGTTAGTAGACAAGTGTTTAATCAGTTTAATGAAGGAATAAATAGCGAGACTGTCTTCTGAGGTTTCACTTTATATCCCTCAATCTTTAATTAATACTCCAGCAAAATCTGTGATCCCTGAGGGAAATACAAGAAACATTTGTGTCAACTTAGGGCACAGTTCCACGAGGTGACAAGTGCTCTCAGTCCAATACAGCGAGTAAAAGTTCTGGTCACTTCCAGGACCTGCCCAGCATCTTTTACGATCTTTACCCTACAGTTATATGATGTATGTTCCTTTTGAAATGTTGTCTTGAGAGAGGGTCCAGTCTTAAGCCAATGTTAACAGAAAGAGGAAAGAAAAAATGAAAGCTTAATTTCAAATAAACTGATTTTGATAAATACGATAAAAAAACCCTTCCCAAACTGCCTATGGGTTGTGTTAGCAAGCTAGAGAAGTACGAGTAAAATAGAGATGAAAGAGCCGGGTGCCCTCTCCAAGGTGCAAGGTTTGGGACAGTGGGTTTTAAAGAGAAAAAGGATCTTTGCAAAGCAAACGGCTGTTCCGAACACAAGGGGAACAGAAACAGACCCAGCAACAAAAGACAAAGGTAGTAATTAAAACAACTCTTGCAAAGCTGTGTGTCGTCCAGCAAAGAGCTACCCAGACAGATTGTGTGCACGAGCAGGCAGGGAAGATGGTATAACCTCTCAATGAAGGGCTCAGTTTTGGGATCTTCATTCCGTGGCATTGTTCTGTGTTTTCCTGTCACTCTCACCTCTATTACCCTCCAAGGGGCCCTGCGTACCCGTGTGTGCCAAAGGAGCGCCTGGTCTCCCAGATTGCTGGTCCTCTAGCAGATGGCACGTACTCCTCTCCCAGCAACTTCACAACTTCCCACTGGGATGTGCATGTAACTCCAAAAAACTAAAAAAGCACAATATGGAATATATTTCTGGGTAGTATAGAGCGTGTCCCCTTCCGGCCCATTGCATCTACATCTAGCAGTGCTATTTGCTACATCTTTTTAAATTATTATTTCAGTAACAGCAGTGGAAGCACTAAGGCATAAAGCTTTCAGAGTCTGCAGTTTCCTGCATCTCAGCCTCACGGTTGCCAGCGTACTGCACTGCGACAATGGCTTTGCAAAAATTTCCAATTGTGCACAGATCGGTAAAAGCTCCATCAAGCGTCAGTACTCTTGAGCTGAGCATAATTGCATTTTAAAGTTTGGGAAATCAAAAAGTAAGATAAAAAAGATTAAAAGTTTAGCAAAATTGCTGTTATGGATTTAGGTTATGGGGTATGTTCATTTAGGGGAGGAAATAGCTGCCTTGGGGTTTGTGTTGTTTCATAAGAGCAGAGTTCTGCTTTCACTTCCATCCCAGGACTGCTCAATTTGGTGAGAAGCACAGGGTTCATATGAAGCCAGAATCTGGCTTTCCGAGTTCAGATACAACTAAACCCTGCTTGGCCCCTAATGAGGAATGGTCCCTATTCATTAGGAGGGTTTGACTGGTTCATTGTTTAGGGCTGCATCCTGCCTCCTGAACAGATCTTGAACAAGTGGGTCTTGCACAAGATTGCTCCTTTTAAAGCTGAGTAACCCTGGTGCACTGGAAAAATTCAGCCAGGTGTTATGAATGTTGTCCCATGTCAAATGGGGAAAAAAAAACAAAAAAAACAAAAAAAACCCAACAAAACCCAACTTAAAAGAATACCGCATGACTGCTTTGTAGCTCAGCATCCTGCCCAGTGACCCACAGCAGTTGTGTTTTCTGCCAGACCCTTCGTGATTCCCTGTTAGGCTCCAGGGTCTGGCCCTAGTTGGAGAATGCAATTTAAGGTGAAAAGCATGTCTTGATAGTGCTCAAAATCTAACAAAGGTGCAGACATGTTTTCCATTAATTTGTCTTGGAATTATTCTTTTCCTAAAAGATTGTCTTAAGTTCTCATTTTAAAATAAATCATTTTCCTTGCAAAGAAGTAAAAGCCATAAGGGGGGTAATTATAATGGTTTTTTAAATAATTTGCTACCATTTCTTTGCCAAAAAAAATGCCTGTGTTCTCATGTTTTGTTTTTCCAAGCTCTAAAATTTGTCCTGCAATTTACTAATGTTAAAAAGACAGAATAAGCTACTGACATATTTCAGATGTTTCTGTTTTCTAACAATAAATTTGGCTACCCTCCGGTAGCAATGACTTGTCTGAAAACCTAAAAATCTTTAAATATTGTTAATTGCTCTGAAAATGTGAAATTTGAACGGGAACATTTGCAAGTGGAAAATGTTTTACGTTTAGAATTTGCAATGCTGGCTCTCCAAATATTCCTTTAATCTTCAAAACAGTTTCATCAATTAAGCAAAACCTAGGCATAGTTTTGGATTCCCTCTCACTTTTGTTGCTGGCCCTAACACACGAATCAGAGAGGATGTATTTCTAATACAAGAATGTTCTGCAAACCAGTAAATCTGGGATTATCTCTTCGGACTGATTATGTCAAAGCTCTTTAGCCACAGCACTTTTGGAGAGCTAAAAATAAAGAGCCCGAGGTTTATACATTTATTCTGTGCCTAAATAATCTGTGCATATTGTGTGTGTCTGTCTACAATGTGAGACATGGTATCTGGACTTAATGGTTATTTAGGAGAGTTCTTTTCCTAGTAAGGATTTTGGCAAAGGGTTTAAAGCAAACTGTCCCAATAGAAGTGTTCGTGGGTTACAGTCTAGTGCAAGTTTAACAGAACTGAGTTCAGATCAGAAGCGTTTACCGCAGATTGACATTAGAGCAAAGTTTGGCCCCATGTGTTTTGAAAATGGGCGAAAACTAGTTCTTTCTTGGCAATGTTGTGCCGTTGAATATAGAAAATTGTAGTCGTGATTTCAATACCACAATTCTGCACTATTAAAGATCTGGGAGAATTTTTGCATATAATTTGTATGAGAGAAGACCTGATGACCAGTTCAGAGATAGGTTAGTCTATTAAGGCAGCTTGAGAGGTGATTTACGTTGGCATCATATTTACCTCTTGGTGACCAGTAGTGTTGTCCCCGTCATATCCAACTTACTCTGAGCTCAGTATATTCAAATGAAAGCTGTGAATACGAGGTAAGATCACAGCACGATCATGGTGACTGGAATAGTGATCCCATCCCCATAGCTCAGTGTAGTGGGACGTTGACTCAAATTCCTCCTTTAACGTATCGGTTTCCATAATCAGAAATTCAGGAGAGTATTCCTGAAGATAGAAAGACAAAACCTGTTTTCACTTGAAAAGGTAAATCTGGAATAGTTCCATCATGGCACTTCAGATTTAGTTAAACCAATGCACCTGAAGGGTGAAGGTAGCCAGGGGCTATAGGTACACTGTACGGTAGAAGCTCTGAGAAGAGCTGTCTCTTATGGTGTATATTGTATGTACAATATTTTTCAGCTAGTTCTTATAATGAACTTACATTACAAAATTCATCTTTGCACTGACATGACTGTAAAAACTGTGAATTTATTAGCGAGATTTTTTTTTTTTTTTAAGTGCAGAGAAGCTATTTCCTTTACCAAGAACACACTATTCCAGAAGGGAGAAGAGGCTGTGTCTTGCCCACACACAGTATGGCTAGCATGCATACCACCAGTCAGGAGGTGTGCGGTGTTCTCACCCGCACACAGTGAGCCTGCAACATTTATCTGTCCTCACCAAGCCTCCATCAGCTTCTTTCCATTCATATAGAACCTTACCAAAAGCATAAAGCAGCTTAGACTGCAAGTCAAATGTAGGGTTTGAAGTACTGACTCCCTTTTATTATGTGTTGAAAGGCTGTGGAAGCATGTCCAGAATTTGGTCTAGAGGACATGTAAAGAATGTCCTTTTTTTGGATTTATTCATCATCCTTTTTCTGTAAGAGGAATGGCTCAATGAGGCTGGAATGTTAGTTCATGTTCTAACAAACTGAGCGTATGATGTGATTCTACATTTGATCAACTTCCTCTTGCCCACTGTGCCTCCGCCTTTAACTGGGATGATGGCAGTGTTCATACCTTGTCAGCTTGTTGGAGTTCTGCAAGATGTTGCTGGTCTGGGCTGTACACTGCTGCTGGGTTAATTGTCTACAGCTCTATTAGCAGGAAATGTCACCAGGCTGTGTCAGAAGCGTCTAACAAAAGCATTCTCTCTGATGTATTGGGAAATGGGACCTTCAGTCCAGGTTCTAGCACCCAGAGGACTCCACATTTTGTTTGTAAAATCTCATAGTTAGTAAGAAGAAGAGAATTCTGTATTTGAAAGTGTTGTCATTATCTTTACAACTCCAGACTCCAGCTGGTATTTCTTGTTTTGAGACTGGTAAACCTCTTTGGGTTGCTAATAGCGTTTCTTGTTTCTTTTTAGCCACGTGACACAGACAACGTCGTGGATCCATCCTGTAACAAGCACGCTAAACTTGCTTTGCTCTGAGGATGATGACGATGGAATAAGAGAGCATCCTGGGCCCAAGAGCTGAGGATGTCTGTTGGCAGAAAGTAGTTTGTCTAGTTAGTACCTTAGTGGGAAGATGCACACTTTGTAATCTACGTGCTGTCTAGTCTAATGGAATAGTACCGGGTGATGTTTCCCCCCTTCAGTCCTTAATCTGCCCCAGGCTGGTGTGCAGGGATCGGTCTTGTTTTAGGGCTCAATCCAGTCTTTTCATGAGTTCTTTACTGGCATAACTCACTGACCTGAAGTGAAAATTTTCCCAGCTTTGACCAGCAGGAGAGGTACAATGGGGCCGTTGGTTGTAATGTCACATGGTAAATTCCAGGTAACTGAAAGATGCCAGGTGAGCTTTTTCCTTCTTTTAACTAATGCTACAGAGTGTAATGTAGATACCTTTTAACTACTGAAAATTCTGATTTTTAAGGAAGAAATTTGCAAATAAGTTTTGTTAATAGGAATTCAGCAATTTATTACAAGGATTGGAGCCCTGATGAGTTTTAAAACTTACTAAGATTGGTGGTTGGGCTTTAGCAAAATGAGTCTTTGGTAAGGTGTCAAGTATAAAGAAAGAGTTTTGGTAGAGGACACCAGACTCTGTCAACAATGTGAGGCAAGAATTAGAATAATTCTACTTTTGTACTCTGCTAAACCGATACATACATGCATCAAATACTTCAGTGGAAGCTGTGAAGTTTCAAGTACAATGAAACCTGTGAAACCACCTCCAGGATCAGCAGAAATCAGTCACCTCCTCAAAGCTGGTCTATAAGTAGAACAAAATCATTTTGTACACATTGGTGATGATTTAAAGAGGATGTAGAAAATGACAGGGGGTGCTGGGGCAATCTGATGAACAGGTTTCACTGTACCTCAGTAGCACAGAATATTTAAAATCCCATTATTCACAGCACAATGTATGATGCCAGCTTTGGCAAATGTATGATTCTATGCTGCATTTTTCCGGAGGCTCTCTCTACATGTGTATAATATGTATGGTAGGTGTTGACTAATGAATGAAAGAAGGACCTCAGACTTTGCAGAAGCACTTGTGAATATGCCAAAGGAAAACGCAATCTCTGACCTTCAGTCCAAGAAGGAGAAGGGGATTGTAACAGCGTGAGGAAGGCACAGGCTGCGATCTGCGTTATTCTGAGCAGCACGCTTTAGGACTTCCAAACATCCCTGGAAAGGTTCAGGCACATTTCTGCACTCCAGCTCACCTCTGTTGGCCGATACAAAGGACTATGCAGTCACATTTTTTGAGGTCTGTCTGCAGCAGCTGTGGCATTCTGAGGAACAGATAGGTTATAACCCTGAGGAACAGGGTTATTTGCCGTTCTGGTGCCTGTGCTACGCTCTGTCCTTAGCGTTACAGAGCTGTGCCAAGCCAGGCACGCTCTAGCTGTTGATCCTTTTGAATCAAAAAGAATATAACTTTTTTAAAAAATCCAAGCCAAGTCTGTTCTTTGAATAGCAATCTACTGCATTTGGCCTGTCAGCTGTAGAGCACATCACCAAATGTTCTTCCTGGAGGAACAAAGTGCAGCTCACAGAAGAGTTTTCTGCAGCCTTTGCTGGAAGTAGATGTCAGGATATATTGAATAAGCAAATAGGCAAATGTGCTTTGTACTTTTAACTAGGTCAGAACCAAATTATCCACGAATCTACACAGGTGGTGTGGATTAGGAAGAAGAGCTTGCTCAGCAGCCCCACAGTAGCATATTTCTAAGAAAACTTCTCCTAGCAATAACCCGTAAATGCTTTAGCCATGTTTTGCTCCAGTGGCTTGTCCGTGCTTCACAGCCTCCTTTGTGTCCTCAGAGAACACAGGCTGAAGGGACAGAGCCTGTGCTTCATTTTCAGGGCTGGACACTGTAGGTGCACTTTTATTTCAATCCCTTTTCTGAAAATGGCACAGGCTCGTGACCCATAGAGGATATACCATGTTCTCAATTCCTTGAGATATTTGCTGTAGCCTCAGTAGTCATCTGGATGCTTCATGACAGGCGCTTTCAGTTCATACTTCCATACTGTCCAGATTGCGTATAGATTCCAGTTTTCCAGTTCTGCTCCAGAGAGGTTTGAATCTCCACTTGATCCTCGCAGACTTGATTTATTCCGCTCGTGGCTTTGTGACAGCTTCACATGGGAGAAGCTATTTAGGGACAGAGACTATGGATCAGGCAGGCTGCATGAGCAGAGACTGTAGACACCTCAGCGCAATTTAAAGCTGTCCTTCTGTTCCATCAGCTGGAGGAGGACAGCTCTGCACACCCTGCCTGCCCTCCCTGGGAGCTGGGGATGATCTCTGGCTCCCGGCATGCGGCGCACAGCCTGCTGGGCACGAGAGGGGGAGAAATCGAGACAAAATGTTGGCGTGCTGCCTGCTCTGCTTGCTGTCCCCACCCACAGATGGGAGCGTTGCAGAAACTTGGAGACTATTTCTCCCTCTTATAAATTTGCCTAGAAATTAAAGATGTTAGAAATAGATCTCTGCATCTATCTAGCTTCTTCTCCGGTAAGCATTACCTCTTGAGATAATTCACTACTTCAAATTCTCCGTTCCTGAGACTACGTTTTCGTACCTACAATCTCCAAATGTTCTAATCTATTTTTGTACACTGGCATACTTGTTTCCTAGGTTATTTCTCTCTATCTCCCCTTGTCTCTTCCTTTTCTGTGAAATAGTTTGTGAAATTATTTTGATTAAGCTGAACTGTGTATATTGAGAAAATGGTTTTAGGAGAACTTAAAAAGAATTTGTAAAGAGCAGTTGTCAAAATATGCAACACTGTAAACATCAACTTTTTATTTTTATTCCAGAATAAAAATATTGAAGTGGAAAAGAAATGAAAGTGCATGTTATATCCTTTAAATTAATGAACCTACAGCTTCATAAGGGAGTGGCATGGGGGCCATAAATGATTCCTGGGTCTCTATTGATTTTCCATGTAAAGGTGACATTGTGAAAAATACCGTCGTGGTACACAGTGGTGTTAATTGTTACCTGAATACTGGCACCACACTCAACTTCACAGATGCTAAATAACTTCCTTATAACACTACTCAGCATCTCAATAAATTAATTATCTTTTCATCAACCCCGCCAGACAAATAGAAGCGTAAATCCGTCTGTGAGCTGGCCTGGAGGACTCACACGGGTTCGAGCGGTGCCAGATGCCGCACAGAGCATTTCACGGTAACTCTCAAGGAAAGGATGCTCCTACTCACCTTTGTCTAGAAATATCATCCCCTTTGAACCATAACTGATGCGGGCTGCTGTTCCCCTTTGTACTGAAAAACATTGGTGGTGGAAATCTCTTGTGTACTTCAGAGTACGGATTTCAGTGGCAGAAAGTCTGTCATTCGTATGTAATTAAACAGTGCCGATCCCTCCGGCTCCCTGGGCTGTGCGTGTCATGGAATAACTCCTGCTTACTTTCTAGAGCTGTTGTAGGCACGTAATGGGGCAAAACCCCAAGGGTCAGCCTCATCTGCTCCTGGGATGACGTGGAGCCAGGGTCACCTCGAGCACCCGCTGCAGGCAGCCGGGCTTCGCCGCCTGTTTTGCTGTGGAAGATAAACCCGACAAGCCAGAGTACCGAGAGACAGGCTCGGTCCAGCAGCGTGTTTAAGGGATGCTGATCTGTCCTGCTGTACCTTCACCGGCTGTTGAAATGCTTCTTGTGACAGGCTGCTTCGTGAACCTGAAACAGATGGTTTGGTCAATTCCTTTAGGTCTGTTTGTGACACGCAGGAAGGTGTCTGTTGGTGCTGAGCTACAGCAAGGAAAATCCTCTAAGAAATGTGTTTGTGGCCGGTCTGTGCAGGACTGGCTCTTGGGAAAGGCTCTCCTGAAGCTCAGCAAACACTGTGATGACTTGGCCTGGGAAATGTTCACTCTCCTGGGAGCTGATGGGATGTTTAACACTCAGCTCAAGAAACCCACTGAGCCAGAAACATTAATGCTTACTCCAAACCAAGCACCAGAATTCAGCGACCTTTTTACAAATATTGCTCTGGGTGACTTTTGTACGGCTCTGCCTTAAGTCAGTAGCAACACCTGCAGTCAGCTCAGGAGCCTTTGGTCCCATCTGTGCTCCTGGTCCCCACGTGTCACCCGTTCCACCCTGCTCCGGGAGCACCAGCGTGATCTCAGCTGCTGCCGAGGAGCACGGCCACCCTGGTGCCACAGGCACCTGGCAGCTGGGCGCTGCGGCCAGCTCCACAAAGATGTTTAGCAGCTTAAGGATGTTGATGGCGTTAATGGGAATTAGGCACCTAACCTACTTAGATGCTGCTATAAATGCTGCTAGGCATGTTTAGGTACCTAAATACCTTAGTAAATCTTTCCCCTTGCTGCTTGCAATGATAGCCTACCAAAAATCAAACGCTAATGAATAAAGCCTAACCTTTTGCCCTCTGTAACCAGCTTTGCCTTTCCCTGGGGATTGTTTTCATCTAATACTAAAAATACCAGCCAACTCACAGGTTGTACCATCCAGACTCTGGTTTTTGGTGGCTTGATTATTCATTGCTCGTTCTAGATTTTTTTCTTCCCAAACAGTGGCTGATATTGCCATGGATTTAATAGGTTGTTATTTTCATAACACTCTTTTAAGATTTTATTACAAGATAATAGTATTGAATTCTCTTCCCACAAAGATGCAATGAGTTTTGTGTCATCATCATTAAGTCATATAGTTGAACAAAATTGAATGGGCTAAAATCTGTTGCAAATAAAGCCTCATGTTTCCAAATATGAGGATGGGAAGTTGAAATCTAATAACCGATACTGATTCTGTCCCCATGGCACAGTATCCAAGTCAAACCCAAACGAGTTAAAGCTGTTCATTTAAAGTGAGTAGATGAAAAAAAAAATCTTTCTCTCTCCTGTTCCAATTAGGTTTTGTTATGTATCTCCTGGAAATTCTGTCCCTGAAGCCATAAGGCCACGTTCGATCTGATGTATATGATAAGGATCTCCATTTACAACTTCCAGAATTAGCAGAGCTTCAGTATCTA